ACCGGTTTCTGTGATGAACTATTTTCCAACAAAGGAGCAGGTACAGTTACCTCATCAAGTTCTATTTTCCTTCCACTCACTTCTTTCGAGAGAAACTCCTTCTCTAGAAAGGATCCATTCTTGGCAACAAATGTCTTGCCTTCGGATCCGTGATAGAAGGTGTACCCAACAATTTCCTTTGGGTATCCTATGAAGACACATTTCTCCGATTTGGGTTCGAGCTTATCAGGCTGAAGCTTTTTCACATAAGCATCACAGCCCCAAACTTTAAGAAACGACAACTTTGGTTTCTTGCCAAACCACAGTTCATAAGGCGTCGTCTCAACGGATATTGATGGTGCCCTATTTAACATGAATGCGGCCGTCTCTAAAGCATAACCCCAGAATGATAGCGGTAAATTAGTAAGAGACATCATAGATCGCACCATATCTAGTAAAGTACGATTACGACGTTTGGACACACCATTATGCTATGGTGTTCCGGGTGGCGTGAGTTGCGAAACTATTCTGCATTGCTTCAAATGTAAACCAAACTCGTAACTCAAATATTCTCCTCCACGATCAGATCATAGAAACTTTATTTTCTTGTTACGATGATTTTCAACTTCACTCTAAAATTCTTTGAACTTTACAAATGTTTCAGACTTATCTTTCATCAAGTAGATATACCCATATCTGCTCAAATCATCTGTGAAGGTGAGAAAATAATGATATCCGCCGCGAGCCTCAACATTCATTGGACCACATACATCAGTATGTATGATTTCCAATAAATCAGTTGCTCGCTCCATAGTTCCGGAGAACGGCGTTTTGGTCATCTTGCCCATGAGGCATGGTTCGCAAGTACTAAGTGATTCATAGTCAAGTGATTCCAAAAGTCCATCAGTATGGAGTTTCTTCATGCGCTTTACACCAATATGACCTAAACGGCAGTGCCACAAATAAGTTGCACTATCATTATCAACTCTGCATCTTTTGGCTTCAACATTATGAATATGTGTATCACTACTATCGAGATTCATCAAAAATAGACCACTCTTTAAGGGTGCATGACCATAAAAGATATTACTCATATAAATAGAACAACCATTATTCTCAGATTTAAATGAATAACCGTCTCGCATTAAACAAGATCCAGATATAATGGCCATGCTTAACACTGGCACCAAATAACAATTATTTAGGTCTAAAACTAATCCTGAAGGTAGATGTAGAGGTAGCGTGCCGATGGCGATCACATTGACTTTGGAACCATTTCCACGCGCATCGTCACCTCGTCCTTTGCCAGTGTCCGCTTAATCCATAGTCCCTGTTTCGAGTTGCAAATATTAGCAACATAACCAATATCAAATACCCAGGTGCTACTACGAGCTCTGGTAAGGTACACATCAATAACATGTATATCACATATACCTTTGTTCACCTTGTCATCCTTCTTATCTGCCAAATACTTGGGGCAGTTCCGCTTCCAGTGACTAGTCTGCTTGCAGTAGAAGCACTCAGTCTCAGGCTTAGGACCAGACTTGGGTTTCTTCTCTTGAGCAGCAACTTGTTTGCTGTTCTTCTTGAAGTTCCCCTTCTTTTTCCCTATGCCCTTTTTCTTGAAACTGGTGGTCTTATTGACCATCAACACTTGATGCTCCTTCTTTATTTCTACCTCCGCGGCCTTTAACATTGCGAAGAGCTCGGGAATTGTCTTTTCCATCCCTTGCATATTATAGTTCATCACGAAGCTCTTGTAGCTTGGTGGCAGTGATTGAAGAATTCTGTCAATGACACTATCATCCGGAAGATTAACTTCCAGTTGAATCAAGTGATTGTTATACCCAGACATTCTGAGTATATGCTCACTCACAGAACTATTCTCCTCCATCTTGCAGCTATATAGAACTTATTGGAGACTTCATATCTCTCAATCCGGGCATTTGCTTGAAATATTAGCTTCAACTCCTGGAACATCTCATATGCTCCATGACGTTCAAAACGTCGTTGAAGTCCCGGTTCTAAGACGTAAAGCATGGCACACTGAACTATCGAGTAGTCATCAGCTTTGCTCTGCCAGACGTTCATAACATCTGGTGTTGCTCCTGCAGCAGGTTTGGCACCTAGCGGTGCTTCCAGGACGTAATTCTTCTGTGCAGCAATGAGATCCTCAAGTTATGGACCCAGTCCGTGTAATTGCTACCATCATCTTTCAACTTTGCTTTCTCAAGGAACGCATTAAAATTCAACGGAACAACAGCACGAGCCATCTATCTATAACAAACATAGACAAGCAAAATACTATCAGGTACTAAGTTCATGATAAATTTAAGTTCAATTAATCATATTACTTAAGAACTCCCACTTAGATAGACATCCCTCTAATCATCTAAGTGATCACGTGATCCAAATCAACTAAACCATAACCGATCATCACGTAAAATGGAGTAGTTTTCAATGGTGAACATCACTATGTTGGTCATATCTACTATATGATTCACGCTCGACCTTTCGGTCTCAGTGTTCCGAGGCCATATCTGCATATGCTAGGCTCTTCAAGTTTAACCCGAGTATTCTGCATGTGCAAAACTAGCCCTTCATGTAGGTGTGGCGGCACGTGATGGAGTTGTTGAAGGTTGATGTCGGCGGCTAGGGTTGAAGGTGAATATATAATAGGCCCTAATGGTCTATTGTAGTATGACTCCCCCTCCCTTTCATTCAAGGCTCTAGGCAGCCAAATTCTCTCCCAGTACATCCCATGGTCGCCAAGGATCGCGTAGGAACAAATCAAGAAGACATCGGTGAAGAATCATGGAAGTTATGCCTGATTTCTTAGCCTATGGGGATTGATAGGAGCACTGGCCATGGTCGTACCAAATGCGCATGCAATTTCATTTTTTCGTCATCAATTCTTCATACAGACTTCAATTGGGGCGTTCTTAAAGCATCTCAACACATGATGTATCTTGGGCATCTTGATGTAAAAAAGTTTTTATACATCACCGTGCCAAAAAAGAGCTTCAACAGGTGATTTATATGTAAAATCATGTGGTCCAATTTTATGGCGTGAGTAAAATCAACCCTAGGTGATATATATTTGCATCATTTAGCTGGTGATGTAAACGCAAAAACGGCGGTCGCTGCCTCCCACCCGCCAGCCGCCGCCGCTGCCGAATCCGCCATCGCGCCTGTTGGAGCAAAATGCTGCCCTATTTTTACATCATTTGTTGGAGCAAACATGTTTGAGGTGATGTAAAATTTACGTTTTGGTGATGTAAAATTGCTTTTTGTGTGTCCAAGATATATAGCACCTATTGAAGATGCTCTTAGGCCCGTTGAATTCATCTTGAAAATCCCGGGAAAATGTTTAGTGGTCAACTTCACCGAACATCAAGAAGATTATTAACATAACCATATTACAAGGATCATATATCATTGGCATTAAAATAAGACACTAGAGTTCATCCATATTTCCCCAAGAACAAATGCAATTGCTCAAACATTTGGATGAAGAACATAGAGGAGAGAGACAAGTTAGAACCCAACATGTTGTTGGGGAAGAAGAGAGGCATGACAGTGTTGATGGAGATGGAAGGTGTCAGCCTGCCAGGTGTTGGCGGAGCTTCATTCTTCCTTCTTCCTTGTCTTGTCCCTTCATGTATGGTGGAGATAACTCTTCTACGACAATAGAGGTGTGGTGGCACGTGATAGAGTTGTTGAAAATTGATATCAGTGGCTAGGATTGAAGGTGAATATATAATAGGCCCTAATGATCTCCTGTAGTATGACTCCTCCCCTTTCATTCAAGGGCTCTAGTGGAGACAAATTCTCTCCCAGTACATTCCATGGCCTCCAAGGATTGCGTAGGAACAAGTTAGGACGAAATCGGTGAAGAATCGTGGAAGTTATGCATGATTTTGTAGTTTACGGGGGTTGATACGAGCATTGGCCATGGTCGTACGAGACGCACATGTAGTATCATGTTTTGGTCGTCATTTCTTCATGTGAACTTCAATTTGGGCGTTCTTAAAGCATCTCCAACACGTAATGTATCTTTGACATCTTGATGTAAAAAATGTTTTTATACATCATCGTGCCCAAAAAACGTGCTTCAACAGGTGATGTATATGTAAAATCATGTGGTCCAATTTTGTGGTGTGAGTAAAATCAAACCTAGGTGATGTATATTTGCATCACCTAGCCGGTGATGTAAACGCAAAAACGGCGGTCCCCACCTCCTGCCCGCCTGCCACCTCCCACCCCTGTGCCGACGCTGCCACGCCTAATCTATTGCCGTCAGTGGCGAAGATAGGCCCTAGGCAGCACGGGCCGCTGCCTGGGGCGCGAGACCAATTTTCTTTGGGTACTGGAGCATCACTGTAGCTACAGTGCTACAGTGCCCCCAAAGGGTGCCTGAGGCTTCACTTTTTCCTGTCGTCGCTACTGACTGCCGTCGCGCCCGTCGGAGCAAAATGCTGCCCCATTTTACATCACCCGTTTGAGCAAACATGGTTGAGGTGATGTAAAATTTACTTTTTGAAGATGCAAATCTATCTTTCGTGTGTCCAAGATATACATCACCTATTGAAGATGCTCTTAGACCCGTTGAATTCATCTTGAAAATCCCGGTATTGCGTCTTCAATTTGGACATTTTGAAAAAATGTCATAACATCCGGAATCTGGCTCCATAACATCGAATTTCTCCGTAGGAAAGGCCTGCACTACAGGATCTTTCTCCGCCCGCCACACCACATGGCCGCACCTCCCGTGGCGGCCTGATCAGATCCCTTCCTCGCAGCAGAGCCGACGGCAACAGGCGGAGGCAGGGACTACTCGCCCGCGCCGGGATCCTGCTCTGCTATCCCCAACTCCCCATCCCGTCCCAGTCTCTGGCCACTGGGTTTCAAGGTATGGGGTCGTTTTCACCCGTCGATTAGTTACAGTCCCGCTCGCCCTCACTGTTTCTGGTTCCCTGCTCCCAATCCCCTGGGCGTTCGGGCGTGTCAGGTTCGGGCTGATGGCAGAGGTGCTGCAGTACTTGGGACCGGATCGTCGAGCGGAAGGTACCACCAATGCGGCGGCGGCAGAAGAACTCGTGGGAGACGACGAGGAGATCCTGCGGTTCATGGACTCGGCGGATGGCTACCTCCTCCTCATGGATTCGCTTTCCGCCGCTCTTCGCCAGGTAGGTCACGCTGGCCGTTGCCCTGTGTACAAAGTTGTGTCATTTATTTTGGAACGGAGGGAGTATAATGTATGGTCTCTGCTCTAGGTTTGTGTGGTCCATGTCTCCGAAGGGGTCTCCCATGATCTGTGGAGCAGTTTGACTCCAGTTGAAGTGACTTACAACACTAGTGTATCAGGCACCCGAGCAAAAAGTCGTCATCTCACGTACTCCCTCCGTCCGAAAATTCTTGTCTTAGATTTGTCTAGATACGGATGTATCTAATACTTAAACATGACTTGATACATTCGTATTTAGACAAATCTAAGACAAGAATTTTGGGACGGAGGGAGTATTAGATATGTAATAACGTCTATATCTTCGTGGTCTAGCTAAATGCTTACCTGAGAAGAACTAGTATCTGAGCACAAGCTTCTTTGCTCGGATAATTTTATTTTTGTTGGCACCTACGGTTGTGCAGTACCCTGAAATTTATCTTGCTCAGTCTCGGTTGCATCTAGTTCTGACAATGCCGACCAACTATGTACCAGGCGAGTGCTTTTGGAAGACTTACTCCCTCCGTCCGAAAATACTTGTCATCAAAATGGATAAAAAGAGATGTATCTAGAACCAAAATACGTCTAGATACATCCCTTTTTATCCAGACAAGTATTTCCGGACGGAGGGAATACAAGTGAAACTGTTTGCCTATTGTAGTACTACCGCAGTTCACAAGGATATATTTGCGGTATTCTTTGTTTTCCAGGGTTGGCTTGATCTGGCAAGTGCTCGTCACTCGATGGGCGCATCACGTGTTTCGAGTGTGCTGTTTGATCATAAGGAGCGATCTGCTGCCACTAAGCTGCAAGTGGATTATTCTGCAGATCTGCAACCATCAGGTAGGAATTATTTGACTTCACAATCTTAATCGACAATGACATGCCATGAGCTATTCAAAAACCATGTTTCAGAACCAAAGCCGCATTTTGCTCTGTCGAAGTGGTGCTTGCAAGAAGAATCAAGCTCCAGTGGTGTTATCTGTGCACAAGATAGTACTAAACCAAAACTAAGGTACCGAGGATCAGAAGCTACCCCAGGTATCTGCACAAGTGATGCACAAGCATCATATCTGCTTTTTCGTGTTTGAATGTGTCGATTAGTTTTCCTTGCTCACCTTTAAATCCTCTTCTTTTGTTATGGAGATGGTAGCAATGAATCAGATGCAACTACTGCAAAATCTTCTACGGGCGCTGACATTAGCAGCCAGGTAAGTGAGCCTGTTATATTTTGCAAATACAGTAGGTAAAAGCAACATATGTAACACTTCAAAACTGAGCACAATTGATGGTGAATAGTGGCCTAAAAGTAACAAAATAGAGCATTAGTTATGATGAATTAGTAAGTCAATAAAACCAAGTTTAAAGTGCTTCAGTGGTTAATTTGTCCAAGCCACCCTGATATGCTGGAAGAACTGTTAGTAGTTCTATACTCAAGTTTGAGATCCTTTTCTCAAGTTAGTCTGGCTTGTGTCAGTTCTATCCAAATTACACAATGCAATTTTACATTCACATTTGAAAAGATGAAGATATCAGATTCACTCAGGCGCAATAAACTCATATGCCACGACGTGCGTATTCATTTGTGTCGTGACAAAAAAGATGTGTGATTCCAAGACACACAAATTTATTGCTCCTTTCCTCTGAACTTTAGGTTCAAACTGCAAGATCAAAAGCATTATCAGTGTTCGGCGCATTGGTGTCTCCAAAACTGCGAACAACCCAAGTTTCCTTTGAATCAGGTTATATTTCTAACAAGAACAGTAGAACAGTAGTAGCCTAATATTGATCTAACTTATACTCCCTCCGTTCCGAATTACTTGTCTTGGATTTGTCTAGATACGGATGTATCTCGACTCATTTTAGTGCTAGATACATCCGTATCTAGACAAATCTAAGACAAGTAATTCGGAACAGAGGGAGTATTTATGTTTCATGTAGCACTCGAGCAAATTGTGGAGCTAGCGAATTCAAGATCAACCATGCTCTCTAGCTTCTCACAGGTAAAGCGCAAATCATGAATCGCTTGCCTGATTTGAGGTTCTGTACCCTCGCGCACCATCGATTCTCTTTGTGGAGTATCAGTGATATGCAATCGGCAGCGCTTGTAGAAAATATCATAATCCTATTTGAAATATGAAATGTTGATATACGTGGATATGAAATGGCTAGAAGTGCACGAGAGGCTTGTTTTGCGTCTCGTTGTCTTGCGTTGAGGCAAGCACTATGTCTGAGCATCGGCGGTTTCCTTGGTGGAAATCGACGGGGAAACTTTGTTGTTCCAAGGAAAATCAGACTCTGAGCAAGAACGGTCAGTCGGCCTTGAGCCTTGAGCGTTGCCTCTCTACTTTGTAATAACAGAGTAATACACATCACATATGGAAACTTACATAACCTCTCTATTCCTTCTTACACAAACACAACCCAAAGCAACACTCAAAAACCCTAGTATTAAGCGGCCTCTCAGCTAGTTGGAAACCTATGGAAGGTCTGAAGGAAAGAAGGGAACTTAACATGTACAGCAAGTAGGTAGAAGCATTTCTTCTTGTACCGGTCTAGAGCCTTGACTTGACTGACGATGGATGTGGTTTGGACTTGGAGAGGTTCAGTTGTAGGTGCCGAAGCTGGTGCGACCCGATGCCCGCTTCTCCGCGGCCATGCCGTCGCTCCTTGGCAGCACGAGGTTGCTGATGGTCCTGACGATCTGCCGCTTCAGCTGCCCCCTCTTCAGCGGGGGCCTCTTCTCCTTTGCGCCGCCGTAGTTGCTGATGCCGCCGCTGCTGCTGTAGGAGTGCTCCATGGCTCCACCTGTGTTGTGCTCCTTCTTCTTCTTCTTCTTCTTCTTCTTGTGTGTGTGTGTGTCTTGTGTTTGGTCCCTTTGCTTAATGTGAAGAGGACATGAGACGGTGAAAAGTATTTATAGGCGGGCTAAATCATCCGTGCTGTGTTAATACCGGCGTCTCGCCGCACATGTTAATTTTTTTGCCGGAATATTTTGACCACTTCTTCTGGGCCATCATGTTTGTACAGTGAAGGCACTATGGAATCTGTACCCTTAACCACAAGAGTGCCACTGTGCCAGCTCCCAAAAACGACTGGAATGATTGAATATCAAGGGAGATGGCAGGGTGCATCTTTGAAGCATCCAGAGGCTTCTGACCAGTCAATCTATCCAGAACGAATTCGAGCCAACGTAGTTAGTGCGTGGATTAAGAAGATGGTTAAAAAAAGATAAGAAGATTTGATCAATTTACCCTCACGTTTGCTCCGTTACCTCTCGTTGAACTGAACTGAACTGAACGAACCACCACACAGTTGAGGGAAGAGCAGAGCAGAGGCGGGCGTGGATTAAGATTAAGCGGCACGTGCCGGAGCGCTGCCCATTGACTGTTTCCGTCCTCGGAGAGATGCATGCACGTGACCGTGACGGCTCACTCTGTTTTGTTTGTAGCTAGCTCCAAGGTTCAGTGCATCTCTATTCCCTGGCCACTAGCCTTCTGCTGGTGACGGCATGCTCGCTTGAGCTTGAGGTGGCGGCCTGCCAGGCTCGCGCATGGACACCTCACCTCCACCGATCGATCGGCCGGGCACGACCCAGCCGCCGGCCGTGACCTTATCCTGACCCGATCACTGCGCGCCTCTTCTTAATTAATTCTGACAATACATACATACAGTCACGTGATATGCATGATACTCCACCGATTACTACATGAGACGATGCATGGCGCTTTCAATTTTCAGTTGCATTATCTTGTCGGTGGTACATAATTTCTCCGTCCCAGTTTATTAGTCCTTTTTGTAGTTTGTACTATCAGACTTTAACTTTTGATTTAACTATTACTCCCTCCGTCTCATAATATAAGAACGTTTTTGATACTAGTATAGTGTTAAAAATGTTCTTATATTTTGGGACAGAGGGAGTAGAAAATAAGTTATATATACACCCTAAAAGTGGTACTACCTCCGTCTTGGTTTATTGGTCCTTATTATATTTCGTGTTAAATTTTAACCATGAATTGAACTAACAAAATGTTCATGCATGTCATAAAAAATTATATTATTGAAAACTATGTTTAAATATGAATCCAAAGCTATAATTTGTGTTAATATACATTAATATTTTATTAGTTAAATCTTTGATCAAAATTTGGTACAAACTACAAAGGGGACATATAAACCATGACGGAGGTAGTATCATTGAAAACCTCTTTCAAATATGAATTCAACAATATAAATTTTGCGGCATACAACATAAAATTTGGTAGTCAAATTTATGGTTAAAGTTGGGAACAAAATATGAAGGGGAACAATAAACACGGACGAAGGTAGTAGCGAAAAAGAGACCACCTGGGTGCTTCACCCTTATACGAAAATTAAATTCAGAAAATGCTAGAAAAATTCAAAAATATCTGACATCTTGAGATCTCAAACTTGGATGCCCAATCTACTCTCGCATGAAATTTCATAGACTGCTGGTACTATCTGGAAAGAGAAGACACCGGAGCATCAGGGGAGCTTAAGAGGGTGCTTGGATACATTTTAGTCCCATGACTAAAAATAGTGGGACTAAAACTTGCTAGCCTCACCCATGCTTGGATCCAAATACTAAAGAGACTAAAATTAAGTTATTGAACATTTATTATCCTCCAAACCCTCCAATCCAGAACTCGGATGTGTTAAAGGAGAGAAATTAAAAGAGGAGAGAGAGAGCTAATACATATTTTAGTAAGTTTCCTATGACTAAAAATTTTTAGCCTCAAGACTAGTCCTAGCCTCTCTTTAGTCAGGAGTGCTTGAAACTTTAGCCTCTAAAAGTGACTATTTTTAGTCAGACTAAAAATAGTCCCTTGGATCCAAGCACCCTCTAAGCTTTAGCAGATGCAGATATGCTGGTACGTGGATTGATTTCCTAACTGCCGTAGGTGAAAGCTGGTGCCCATGTTACTGGCGGTCATTGGCCCGTCCATCCCATGAAGGCTTGAGAGATACTCAAAACTCTTCCCTGATCAACACGTGCAGTTTATGCGTACAATTCTAGTGGTAGTATAGTGAATAAATTCAGCGAAAATTCAAGGCCTACCTCTGTTACCTTTTTACGGCCAGCATAAATTCCCTGCTTAGTGTCTTGATCTGATCCACACTCCACCCGACACCTCATAAAAGCCTGTCTTACCCAGGAAGTAGTCGGTTTATTCTTGCAAAAAATGTATTAAAAAATAGATAAACGCATGCATGAATTGCTGGGGAAAACTGAAACATCCAAAAATATGGCTCGCCTATCTTCAGTTCTTCACCCACCACATCCTTGATCCATTCGTTCACCACCTTGCCCAGAAGGCACGAGACGAAAGCTCGACTTCCATGGAAATATCTTCCAAGAATGCGTATGTGTTCACTCAAATATGTTGAAAGCTGTTATTTACCTAGTCTGTTTTTCACCTTTAGCAATTATACTCTGGTCGATGGAAATTTATCAAAAAATTTGTCAAGAGAGAATATGCATAAGTATGCGTGTCCCGCAAAAAACACATATTTGACCTGTTGGCGAAATCAATTCACGATCCGAACTGTGTTTGGAAAAAATTCACAAACTGACCGTTTTGTGTGGCGCCTGACAGCAGGGCGCTGCACTACACTATGCAGCGTCTTAGGCGCCGCACGCCCGGCCAGCGTGGCAGCCCGGGGCCAAGCGCGGCCCCATAGCCAGCTGTGCAATGTGCAGCGCCTAACACATAACCATTGTACATTGACTTAAGCCGCATCGGGCCTAGCCCTCTCCAGGCAGTTCTTCCCTC